AAGCCCGTGTTGTTCAGTGACAACCAGGCGGCGATCCACATGATTACAAACGGAGCCAACTCTCCGGGCTCCAAGCACATTGCTGTCAAGTATCGCTTTGTGCAAGAGAGGTATGAACGCAACCAGCTCGATGTCCAGTTCTGCGGGACCAAGGACATGGTTGCTGACCTTCTCACCAAGCTGCTCAATGGACCGAGCCATCGTCGTTTGTGTGACATGCTCTTCCGTTCTCAGCTTGAAGGGGAGTATTAGAGGCACAATCTGAGACGGTATACTTTACCACGTTGTGTGTCCTCTGGTACTTGATGTTGTCCCACCTTGTTGTGTAACATCTGGTTGTACCATCTTGTTGTGGCATCTGTTGGTCCCAACAGATTGCTGATATCGCTTCCACCTGTCTTCAGTGTGATAGTCCATTCTCTGTCTCCACTGTGTGTGTGTGTTTCCACCTGCTATAAATGGGAGCGATCTCCCTGGATCGGTACCATTTTCCTTCTTGACCTCGGTCGTTCCACTTCCCTCCTTCTGTCTTGTTCTGTCTTGTTCCTTCGCCTTGCTTCAATCCATGTTCTCGTATGCACTTCGATTGGTTGGATACCTCTGTGACAATCGCCTTGTCCACACACATTACATTGTACTGGACATACACCTTTAATAGTTTGAACCTCAGAGCTGAAAGCAAAGCTGTGCAACCCCGACATCAAAATCACTACGTCACGCAAAACAACACAAGAGAACAAGTTACATTCACTGGCTTTTATCATGCCAAGAAGTACAAGCGCGAAGAATCACGCACATAGAAACAAATAATAATAAATTAGGTGTTTGAACCTCAGAGCTGAAAGCAAAGCTGTGCAACCCCGACATCAACATCACAACGGCACGCAAAACAACACAAGAGAACAAGCTACATTTATCGGCTTCTATCATGCCAAGAAGTACAAGCGCGAAGAATCCTGCACACAGAAACAAAAATCGTACAAAACGACCAAGTATAACCAGAGATACGGCCATTTCAAACACAAGACACCCAAAAGGGCAGTCACACATCACAAGTATAAGCCATCACAGCACGAACATAAAAAACACCACGGCACACTCACATCCAACGAGACACAACGCCGGGTCGAAAAGACAACCGACCACAGAAGAAAAAGACATCATACAAAGGACTTTACAAAAATTCAGCAAAAATACCACACAAATACAGCAAAAATTAAAGCAAAATTACAAGAAAACTACAAGTCAAGCCATCAACAGACACAACGAGAACCACCAAGGGAGTGACGGGTGCACACAGGGATCCCCACAGAGGGACCCCCGGGACGGTGCCTACCTACGACGAGCGCAGGCAGACACCGCCAAAGTGGCGCTGGATGTGGTCAGCGTTCATCTGATGGACCAGCGCCGCAAAGCGACCCTTCCATCGAGGAACAAAGGCCTCATCCAGCCCCGGCTGGTACACACCACGGGCCTCGGCGCAGCGGGCGAGCTGACCAAGCAGATCCACAAAGGAGGAGGCGAACCCACCGGTTGTCGTCATCGCCGCAGGGACGATCAGAGTTTTTCCATGGTTGAAACCGGTGTAGTAGTCGCGCTTCTCCTTTTCGGCTCGGCGAAGGGCAGCGCCCACCTTGATGCAGGCTTGCGAGGTGGTCGGGGGTTGGGCTGTGCGCACAGTCACGTCAATGCCCAGGTCGGGCAGAGCTGGGCCCAGAGCACCGCCGGGAAAGGGGTTGCGGCAGTGCAGGTCGATGCGGCAGCTCTGACCGTTGGCGTTGTAGCCAGACTTTTCCACCCAGACATGGGAGAGGGTGGCGTACCTGAGCAGGCGGCCCATCTCGTCGCGAAGGGCGTTGTGACGCTTGATGGGACGACAGGTCAGCAGGTGCTCGCGGGTCAGTCGCGGCTGAGGTGTCTTGCTGCTGCAGAGAGGGCACTTGTCCGTCGGCTTGACCTTGATGAGTTCATGGAGGCCAAAACCCATCATGGACACGCAATGGCAAAGGTCGTGTCGCTCAAGCGACGCAACTTGTCCCGACCCCGCATGGTCAAGACAGTGCTGACGCCCCACTCGCGTGAGGCCAGATATGCCTGCTGCAGGTCCAGCGCGCACTTGGCCATCAGGTCGTCCAGTGCCGCCTTGGAGCGGAGGGCAATGATCTCAGCTGGTCGCTGGGTCGCCGCGTCCTTGACCGTGGCCATCTGGAAGCCGGCTCGCTGCACGTGGGCCTCAAAGTCGGCAGCCCTCGATGCATCCTCCAAAAGTCGATCGTAGACCCGAGGGTAGCGAGTGGCCAGCTTGGCCATGTTGCAGACATAAGCCACCGGACCGCGCTCAACCAAGTCGTGCAGGCCAAAGCCCCCGGTGTTGGCCCGCGTGAAGATGCGAGCTTCCAGGAGCTGTTCCAGCGTAACGTCATGACCTTCAGCTCCAGCTGGTGCAGACAGGTTTACCTTGGCAAAAAAGGCTTTGACAAAGGTGTCCTTGCAAGCACGGTTCAAGAGCTCGGACAAGCCCGACGTGAGACTTGGGGGCAGCGTGTAGAGGTGGTTGATGAGGCTAGGCACGTACTGCATGGCCGTGAGGAGGGCCTGAAGCGAGACACCGGTCGTCAGCATGCCATTGAGCTTGCCAGCAATGTGCTTTGCCTTGTCGTTCAGCTGCTTCTTCATCCACTCGCGACGGCCAATCGGCGTTCCCAAAACCGTCATGCCCGTGTTGGCCGTCTCGCGCACGGCATCTGGCAAGACAGACTTGATAGCAGCGATGGAAGCGGGATGGTGGCGAGGCATGTAGAAGCGGCTCTTACTGGGCTGCAGATGAAGGCCAGCAGACTCTGCACGAGCCTTGACAATCTCGACGTCGGCCGCTACGTCCTCCGCGGGACCCATCAGTACAATGTCGTCGAGGTATTTGATGACCTTACAGCGATAGTCAGTGGTGGCGTCGAGGAGACCCAGGACCTCACAGGAGTACAGGGCAAAGAAGAAGGGCGATAGCTCGTTGCCTTGCACAATGCCTTGGCCAACATCAATGTCAATCACCTTGAAGAACTTGTCGACAATGCAGTGAGTAGTGGGTCGAGTATAGTGTCGTTCAAAGGCGCGCAAGAGGCCAGGGACCTTGTCGGCCACAATCTCGTGCAGCCGTGCTCGGTCGGTGTAGTTGAAGGCACTCTTGAAATCGAGGGAGAGCATGGTCCAGCCCGGGGTAGACTCACAGGCTTGAAGCTCACCAAAGGCCATGCCAACCGCTGCTGAAATGCCGTCCTTGACTCCGACAGCCAGCTCTGGACTGGCCTGTAGCAAGTGGGCAATATGGGGCTGCTGTTGCTCGAGCAGAGCGCGGTTGACAACCTTGTTGAAGATGGAATCCGTGCCCACGGGTCGAAACTTGCCATTGGCCTTCTCCAGGATAGTGTAGTTGATGGAGCAAAGGGCATGTCGAATCGACTCGGGCACGGTGTTGTTGGCAATGTGGTGAAAGATCTTGTTCAAGGCAACCTGAGGACCTCCAGTGGCGGTGGTGGGGCCCTGAGGCGCGTCTCCATCTCCATCAGAAGGAGTAGTCGGGTCGCTGGTAGGACCCTGGCGTGGGCCCAAAACTTGACTGAAGTGCTCCTTGATGCGGTAAATGGAGGCAAGAAGCTCACCAGACCAACCATAGGGGTCAGTGACACCCTTGGTGGCCGCCAACGCCTTGGGGAGCTCACCCTTGGTGAAGGACACGTTTGGGGAGCTCGCAGCCGTGGCTGGTGCCAGTGTAGACGTGGAGGCGGGTGTCAATGCGAATGGGGATGGGCGAGTCGCGAATCAGGCGAGCAAAGCTCTCAGCCAGATCGTCCTTGCGACAGACAGGGTCGAGCCAAAGAAAGCCCGTCGCCACATCCCGATAGGCAATGATGTACCTCGCTCCTTTGATACTAGGGGAGCGAAGCGGGCCAAACATGTCAGAAGCGACCAGTTCACCAGGCATGCGGGGCGTGCGATCGCGATCAAAGCCAGCCAGAGCAAGGCGCTTAGCTTTGAAGAGGTTGCAATCGTTGCAGTTGAGGATGGCCTTGACGTCCGAGGTGTCTTCAACTTGCTGCAGCATGGAGCGCAAAACTTCGCGCGGCGGATGGCCAAGAAGACGATGCATATGCGAAGCAGACACAACATGGGCATGCTGTTGTTGCTGGTGGTGGTGCTGGTGGTGCAGGTGGTGAGCTGGGAGAAAAGAAAAGAAAAACAAGCCACCACTGGCCGCATCACGAGGTGCAGACCAAGTGACATCAGCATCACTCAACAAAAATGTAGACGAGTCAGACAAGGACACGACAAAACCAGCATCAACAAGGGCAGAAAGCGAGACAATGTTGTGAGAAAAAGAAGGCACATAAAGCAACGATCAAGAACAATGGGGCGCAAGACACCATCAACATCAGTCACGAGCAAAGACACGGAGCCGACGGCTTGAGCAGCCGTCACGCCGTTGGCAGTCACAATGGTCTCAGAGCTTGGAGCAAGATCA